TTTATATCCAAACATTTTTTGTGGAAGTTTGAACTCGATATTTTGTCTGGAATCCAATGTGTGAGTACGTCATGTTATATATTAAGATCTATATGGAGTTTGTTTAAGAATTATTTCTACACTAAACGGAGTTGTAACAAGGACTATTGTTAAAGGAAAAAAGAAAGAAAACACAAATGAAACAGGAAAGCAAAAACTTTGTAATTGCAGAAGATAAAGCAAAAGAGAAAATTCTTTTAAATTTTTAATTAAAAGTTGATAGACTATTGACAGATGTACAAACAATTTATAAAATTTTGCCATTCAATTAACTTTTAAAGATTTGTTATAATTATTAAAATAATTTTTTTCTTCTCATGAAATGCTTAATAAAAGCTTTTCTTGCATTAAACATCGTAGAGAACCTTAAAAATTAACTTACTAATATACTTTGTGAAATATATGGAATCCATATGTGCACATATATGATAAGTATATAATATTTTAAATAATTTCTGGTAATTTGATTGAAGTGCGGACACCTTCTAGTCCACAAAAATTTTAACACTTCAACCAGAAATCTCACAGTAATTATCAATTAGTTTGTTTTGGAAAAGTGCTTGTGAAAATTGTTTGTTATTAATGAATGAATGTCACTCATACGCTCTGTTGGCAACTACCTGCAGCAAATGCAATTAAAAATGTATTCCATATATAAGCAAATATATATATATATATATATATACATGTAGAAAGACATTTCAGTCACAATTAATCTTGCTGAAAGCAACTGCAGCAACTGCAGCAAGTGCAGCAAGTGCAGCAACTGCAGCAGCTGTCGTAGTGGCATTGTCTACTCAACACATCAAACAAATTCAGTTCATACTAAAAATGCATTAGAAATTGTGAATCCTAAAACGTGCATTAAATCTAACAGAACATAATTTAAAATAGATTTTCAAGAACAACAAAGGCCAACTCGAATGCAGTCACAAATATAATTTAAATTTTAAAATAAAGGAAGCAAATGTTACAAATGTTTCGTACTTTAATTACACATATTGCACTTAGGGTGTGCAGGGTGTGCAGGGTGCGCAGGGTGCGCAGGACCAACTGAATTAATCGTACCAGAAACTGAGCAAAGTCCGAAGTGATAAATGAATTTATGTAGACAATGTTCATTAATGCAGAAGTAAAAAAGATATGAAACTCTAAAATAAAGCAAAATTGTGTAGGAGTAATCCACACACACTCCTTCGGAACAGAGGACAAAAGAAGTAACCCGGCAAAGCAGTTAAAAAGACATGTTACTTATAAAGTTATAAGAATACTAAGTTGCGTACTGAAATGCTTTTAGCAGTGGAAATGCAACTTTTCATATCATTTGTAAATGTAGCACTGCTTTCGAGTACATAATTTGAATCGCAGAAGGAGTAACTGGTGTTAGGAAATTGATATAGGGTTTTGTGTAAGCAAATCCCCAAAATAATAAAGTGCTTAAGATATATAACGAAATATGTGATGAGTACATGTAAAGCAAGCAATAAATGAGTAGAGTGGAGCCTTAAAATCAGTTACAATAGCTGATGAGATGAAAATGTCAAAATTAATATATTATATTGCATTATTAGCAATGAATTTATTTAGCTACACTAAAATGTTATACTATATATTTAACGACGTCATCATATTCTAAACAGTTACATAGGTCAACATATGGTTAACCTATTAACCCATTGCTGTTAAGAAAACTTAATTGTAGTAAGAATCGGTTACTAAAGTGTTTTAATCGAAACCTCTAATTCTTTAACTGAAGCTTTATCTAATTTTCTCCAAAACGTAATGAAATTTTTGCATTCATTTGTGAGAAGTGGTTTTACTGGAGTTACAGTTTCACACTATGGGTGTTGATGCTTTCTGTCGCAAAAATAAAAACAAAAAGATGTTTTTTCTATCATCCAGATTTTTTCTTATAAGCCGCCTACCATTGAAGTGTAACTAAGTTATTTCAACAATATTGATATTGTATATGATTATAACAATATACAAAACAATCCGGAATACAAATATTAGGAACCTGAGTAAAAAATTGCAATAAGATATAAAAAGCATATATAGTACAGACTTACAGAAGTTCTTCGTAAGATCTCTGGTCCTCTACGAGTTGACGACGACTACCGCATTAGAATGAACCACGAGCTGTACGAGCTTTATTACAACATTGGTATAATTCAACGCATTAACATCCAGCGGCTTCGCTGGCTTGGTCATGTCGTGAGAATGGATGAAGACGCTCTGGCGAAAAAAGTGTTTGAAGCAGTATTTGGCGGAAGACGATGTAGAGGTAGACCGTGTCTCCGGTGGAGTGATCAAGTTGAGGGAGCACTAACTGGACTGGATATACGAGACTGGAAAAGGCGCGCACGCAACAGAGGCGCCTGGGGAGACATGCTGCGTCAGGCCGAAACTCGGTAACGAGTTGTTATGGCCATATAAATAAGTAAGTAAGTAAGTACAGATTTGATCATGCTATAAAAACTATTTGTGGCAGTATTTGCTAGTTCATAAAAAATCCGATACATAAAATAAAATTTAATTAGTAACATTTGGTATATAACTTTGATAGGATGAGAAGTTCCGATTCAACTTGTAGCGCAAGAGCGCTCATAACTTCTGAAGTTTGGTGTCTAGTAAACGCAGTTATTTTTCAGTCATGCAAATCTTCTACTTTTTCCCCACACACTTGTCCCCACAAATTGTGACAACATAAGTGAACTTACTTGATAAATTACAGAGATATCCTTCTATTCTATATGAATATTTTATTTCAGAAATTTTTACACTTAACTAGCAGAGAACTTTTTGTTTAACCCTAAAAATTTCATGTCTGTACGCACACAAAAAAGTTTAGTTTATGTCACTGTGGAAGTCATGCGGCTAAAGGAGTAGAAAGTACCAGAATACCTTACACACTACTTAACATACATATAATTTAGAAGTCCCATACTACTCTTCTGCTCCAACTGCGGTGAGTGGTATATTCCAGTGTCCTTTGCACCATATCGAGAAAAAACAAAATATATATATATGTAAGTGCCTGCACATAATCCCACATATACTCGTATCCCAGTACCGAAATAAAACTTGTGTGTATTTGCGCATAAAAGTTTTAAGTTCAGTTTAAGTGCGTCTTGTGCAGCAGTTCATTTGCAGTTGGAGATATTTCACAAAATTTACAAATTCTGTGACAATTTCTTCAGTAGGTTTTTGGTTAGCGTGGTTGAATAGTGTTTTTTTCTACAAAGTATTTAATATCTCATGTAAAACAAATATACATTTTTAGTAGATTTTTTGGTTTGATTGATGTGGTATCAAGTAATCAGCAATACTTCGTGCTGTTACCATTGTGCGAAAGGACTCCGAAGGATATATTTGTATGAAGT